GTAAAAAGATCTGTGTATTTCAAATTTTCACAACTTAAAATTAATGTTATGATATTTTGATTTTTTTAAATATTTTTATTTTCAAATAAATATCAGTATTCAGTTATGAACAGACTAATAAGAAAATTCCCATGCCTGTAGATATTAGAATAAAGCATAAAGTAAAATTAATATACAGAATTATGGTTGTGAAATGTGGAAAATAACCTAAATACTTAGGTACCTTAGATACTTAGATATTGCAGAGCTTAGGCACTGTAGTAACTATTTGGCACCCTATTCTTTAAAAAATAATATAACTCTGCCTAAGGTTTTAGCACAGAAAGAATTCTTAAAAACCTAAATGAAGAGCAGTGGGATCACAGTGCAAATATCAATGAAGAGAGATGTTTAAACATTATCATTATTTTTAAAATTCTTCTGTGTCCAGACATCTTTCTCTGTCCTCATTGCAGACTTTCTTCTTGTGATGTAACTGAAGATGGTGAATGTTGTTATTTTAAAAGAAAACATGTTTAAAAACCTCTAAACAAATGCATATTCTTTTACCCAGAAACTTACCATTTCAGTGTGTTCACAATCCTGAGGAGACTTCACAATATTTTTTATTTAGTTTTAGTGTGCAGTGCTAATAGCCAGACCATACGCCTCTCAAGCAATTCCTTTTTGACACAGATCATGTCACTAGCAGCCATGTTTTCTGCATTATACATACATATTAAAAAGTATCTCTATGCATTTACTTGCAATATTTGTAGAAATAACTAATATTGAAGATTTATTTTTATCTATGTTATTCTACATATTAAAAAATTACAAATTTTATTAGCAGAAATTTCATTTATTTCACAGTATATTTTATATTCTGGGGTTTTTTTTGGGAAATAGCAAACTTACACTTGAACTAGTCTTTTTCTGTTTTAACAAAAGTAAGTCTTTTTTTGTATTTCAGTAAATTCCCTGAGGTCTTATTCTCTTGTCTTTTCTTAATTACTACAGGCATGTATTTGAATGTGGTAGTCATTGTACATTTCAATAAAAATGACATTAGGTTAAGAGAACAATTTTATAAATACCTTTGTGGTGCATTAGAGGCAAGAGTGGGTGGTAATAATGACTTCTTTGTATGGCATTAGACATCACTTACATTTGGTGGTGACACACTGCTACACAATGTGGTACCCTAGAGAATCAACATCTCCTGATGATTCACCTTTAATTGCTGAACTTTATCCTTTCTTACTAGAATGTCAAAATTTTCTTCAGTTGTGAAAGATATATAATACAATAAAAATAACAATAATGTATTAAGTTATTATCTAATGAACCCTTTTTGAAAAGGCAGCCTATGGAAACCTTTGGAAAGTACATACTGTTCTAGTAACTCAAACCACAGGAAATAAAAAGTAGGAGATAGAAATGTTTTTCTATTTCTTAAAAAAGATGATGTGATATATGATGGGGAAAATACCAAACGAGACCAAAACCAATAAAACAAAACAAAAAAGCAACACCATTTTATATATATATATAAATGAGTTACCTGAGGATGTAAGAAATTTTACCTGAGGCAGGAAAAAAGCACCCTGGAGACTAATCCAAAGCATAAATTAACTACTAATATTTATTATATAATCTTTATTTTTAAAAGTGGGCAAAATCAAAATGTTCAATTAAATAAGAGGAAATCATTAATTTTTACTATGTTCTTTTTCTCACCTTGATCTTGTCGCTTAAATTAAAATGATTCTGGACTCAGTAAAGCTGTGTTAAATTGGTAAAATGCGAATTCACAGAGTGTGTTCTAAAACCTATTTGTGTTCTGAGCCTCAGTCAATGCAGTTTAGTGATGATGGTAGAATGCCATTTAATTAAGGAAAGTTCATAGAGCATTTTGGTGCAACTTAAACAATGACGATCTTGGTTCAAGTATCCAATTCACACAACAAAATACAACAGACATTAATGACTAAGAAATTACACTCTACTGTGAGACAGCAAATAGCTCACTCTGTACTAGGAAACACCATCTAGCTGTGGACAGAAGTTATAGTGCAACATATAAAAATCAATAGACTCAATTCACCTATGCCCTAAAGCATACCTTCATGATTTTCTGTAGTTATCTTTCTACCCAGCCTTTCTTTACGGCTGTCTTTGATCATATCTTTCTCTTTTCACCTACTATATAATGTAACCAGTATTTGCTTAGCAGTTTATCAGAGATGGCCAGTTTAAATCTGAAGGCTTTCTTCTACAGCAAAAGATCCTAACAGAATTCATCTAATGTCTACACTGACAAACTACAAGTAACCTTTATGGGTATTAGGTCAGGTCCCACATCAGCAGAGCTGTCTAGAAAAGACTGCTAAATTGCATCCAGTAGTCTGGAATGCACTGACTTCAAAAAATAGCTTTATGTCTTACTTTGAAGAGCTATAAAAACTGCTGTCTCTCCATCTATAGCCTCTAACACTGATTTTGTGACAGTTCAGATCTCCTTGAACATTTAATGTCTTTTGAAAAAGTTGTACTGGAAGCAGACTAAAACACCAATTTCATCTCTTTAGTTAGAAATAAAACAAAACTCCAAATCCAGCATTTTAACAAAAATCATCACAAAAGTTTGAAAACCTTTTTTCCCTAAGAACCAGGAAACACCAACCAGAGATAAATCATGAGTTTACAGCTTTGAAGTAAATATAGTCTTTTAGCTCATTGCCACAAATTATTTTACAAGGAATTTCACTGAATTGAGAAGGAAAAAGATATAAATGTAATGAGTTGTTCAAACTCTGATTGATCAGTGGCACTAACTGGTATTAATAAAAATCAGGGAGTAACTCATCTTTAATACATTATTTATTATCTTTTAAACAAACAAAGCCAGAGTTTCTAGAGTGAAGTGATTGGCTACCTTACTTAACCTGATGGAGGCTGAAGAACCAAAAAAACAAAGGCAGAGGAATCCTCTCATAATTTCTAGATAAGTTGTAGAATTTTATGTTACAGAATGTTGTGGTATGTATGGGCTCCAGGGATGGCAGGGATGTTCATATAAAAGTCATCTGTTTCGTGTCCATGAACACACAGATACTAGATCAGCTCAGAAACTCCCTGATCTACAGAAAATTGAAGGTTGAATTAAACTCCTGGAGTAAGGCTGACCCTTTTCCAATACTGTTCTACATATATGTAGCTTTGAACACTCCAGGACCCAATAGATGAGCATGAGGTACCTTTGGTCTGATTCATCATGAAAAATCTGCTAACAAATAATGCTTAAACAGTTGCGTCACCTATTTGGTTTCATCACTATAAAAAATATTTAAATAATCTGATTAGATAAACAAAACGGATTATTGGAAACAGCTGACATTTTTGCTTCCTCAGTCAGGAGGTAGATAATGCACTAGCTTTTTTCATTTTAAAACCTAATAAAAAAATTGATATTAAAAATTTAGTCTGCTCTTCTGCTATTGTATACCAATGCCACCTTAATTTCAATGTAAAGGATAAATTTTTATTCACAATGGAGACATCTAATGTTTCTTTTGACAATTTCACACCTTAATAAAACAAGGATGTTTATGCTAAATAAAAAAAGACCTATACATACACATACACCTACCCATACACAGTAAACATTCTACAGTTTCAGCAATGTGTTTTTCCACATCTGTTCATTATTTATATTTTACTTTTTCTCAGATTAATTATTCCATTTGAAAATTATATATATAGACAAACAATCTCAATTTGTAACAATGCAACTAGATTGAGGATTCTCAATCTTTTAAAATTTTCAGGCAAGAAAATATAGGGGTTTGTTAAATTGATTTTTGTTTTCCTCTTCCTTTTCATAGCAGTTCAGTTCAGTTGCAAGTTAAGCAAATGTTTTGCAGGGAATCAGTTTATCTAACTGCAATAACCTTACACTTAAGTTTCTGCCTTCAAGTGCGCTTAATTTGTATCCTGAGGTCTTCAGGGATATCTACAACATGTCACTTGTAGTCAGGTAAAAATTATTTCTGTCTTTCTCAGTGGGATACCCTGTCCTGGTGCTGACCCCTCAGAGAGGCGGCTCAGCCTCACCGTGGCCTGGGCTGGGTGTCCCTGGTTTCACCCTGCCCTGGGACCAGCGACTGCTGCCTGCCCTGCTCCCGCAATCACCGCCTGAAACAACATCCCTTCTGTGGACCTGGGGCTGAGGGCTGGAGGCATGAGAGTATCCCAGACAAAAGGTGACATCTTGGGAAGGGGTGTTTTATGCAGCAGTTTCTTCTGTTTTGTTAGTGAGGATTTTCTGTGCTACACACATCATATTCCCTCCTCTACAGTCTGTGCCATACAGTTCACTATCTAAATTAGTCAACACTTGATATGATTAGCTCAGGGATTTTTCTGCTGAAATAATGGAAATAGAAAAGAATAGCTTCAATACATTTAATATTGAAGTAGAAAGCTTTGGCTTTGACAGAAATAATTGTGCCACTTTGTGTTTGGTTCATACAAAGATCTTCAAAGAATGATGAACAGCCAAATAAGTGACCTCATGACAATCTGCTTAATTAGAATAAATTAGGAGAAAATATTGTTTTAGCAGAAGAAAATCACTGGACTTGTCTCTAACAAGATACTTAATTATATACATCAAGGGGAATTGCTTAAGGGACATATTTTTTCTTCATCTGTGTAACTCATTTAACATATTTCCATCTTTGTAAATGTGACTGGGGAGATACATCAAACTGGATAAATTAGATCTAATTTCAGCACCCATATAAACTTTTACAAAGTTCCAACCAATCAAGAAAGATTCAATCCCAAAGCTGATTCTGACTTTAATAAAAATTACATTTTTTACTTTTGATGAGTGAATAAATTCAGGTGTAATATCTTAATGACACACTGCAAAGAAAAATTGCCATTGTTTTCAAGTTCAGCTAGATGTTTAGTGTTGTGAATAATAACATAGATTTGAAAAACAAAACAAAATGTAACCAAGAAGAATGAAAGAACTTTATTTTAATGTTAGGATTTTTTTCCTTTAAATCACATGATCAAAAATTTGAATTTCGGAGATAAAGCATGAATTATATCTAATATTTTGTTTAAGAAAGATACATTACAGTACAAATAACAGAAGAATATAATCTACCCGCAGGAGTGTATAAAATATCTACCTAAACACATACAGACTGACACATGTATGTGTACTCACATATACAGGAATGCACAGACTATAAATAATCTTACATATTGCAACAAAAAATAGAAAATATAAATCCTTACTTATAGCATTATTAGTATGTATTCCAATATTTCATTATACCTTCTCCTACTATTATCTGAGACAACAAACGATAAACAGAAGCTGTCAAAAGAAAGAGAACTACCAGAAATACTTTAGCTTCTACATATCAGTCCTGAGAAGTATTAAATGCTTGAGTACTGAAAGGATTAATGCTCATGATTTTGTTATAATTCAGTTTACATAGGAGTATTGGATCATGATACTGTCTTGTATTTTAAATCAGAAAAATTCAGAAAAAGACTGGAGAACTGCTTTCATATAAGTTTCAGTGTCACAAATGTTTAAATCAATTTTATAAAGCTAGCTAATCTTTTGTCCAATGTAGACAGCATATTGTAATCTGTACTCTTGATTCAGAGTTAAAATATCAAGCTTAAAAAGTCACCAAAAAAGAAAAAAGTTAGACTATGTATTGTTTCTTACAGAATTACATCTTGAAGCTACTTTTCATGACTGAAGGCCTTTTCCTTCCCTAAACTAAGTCATCAGATAGAACTTTCTACCAAAGAGCTCACAAAATAAAGATATAAGATCGATTTCTTTTTAAAGTGATTTCATTTGGTATATTGCCTTTTTTTTTCTTTTCCTTATCAGCTTCCAATCTATTTAATTCTCATGCTTAGAAGTATTTGGATGTTGTCCCAGCTTGATCACATAATTTTAAATTTTCTTTATTTTAATTTATTTCACATTTAAATTGTACTCTGATGAGCACATTCCATCTGCTTACTGTGCAACTGACAAATAGCTTGCAAATTAATGACCTCAAGCTGTGAGGAGCCTCTTTCTCTTGAGTTCAAAATTCATATGAACTCAATGTTGAAGTTCCTAACATTTTTGAGGGTCTGAAATGCCATTAGTGAACTACATAATGAAGCACGTTTGGAAGTGGTTTTAGTGGAAAATTGTGTAATAAGATGTCCTTGTTAGAAGATTGTAATTTTTCTTTTAATGTTACCATTGCATTTTTTCCCCAGAAAACTGTATATGACCTTAAGCTATTTTTATGTCTTCTCTTCATATAATACCTCTTGGTAGGTAAAGCTACATAGGTCTTCATATTAATGGGTTGAACACTAACAAATCAACATCATTTCTTAGACTTAATAGGAAAAATTAAACCAAGCAACATATAATATTTTCTTTATATCTTGTTTTCAAATTCCTATAATAAATAATAATTTATAACTCAGATAATAGATGCTATTTTTTTTCAGAAACCAGATTAAAACAAGGGGACTTTTATCCCCTTGACAGTATGTATATTGATTATGTCATAATGGGACACATTGGCATTAAAGTTCTGGAATAGGTAAATATAGCATAAGACCTTTTTAGAGAAACTACACTATTTTGTAGCAATTAGAGATATAAAAGGAACAGTAGAGTCTCTCAAATATCTTAAACAACTTACATTTAGATTACTGAATCCTGATTTTGGTCAACACAGCTCATTGCCATAAACTAGAACTGTGCCATGGTTGCAATGAGTGGCATCACAAGTTAATTACAATAACATTGTTACATGAAGAGCAACAAATGTCCCAGCTCTATCTACAAACTGCAATTTATTTTTCATTCTAGCAGGGTCTTGGAATTCACAGAGTTGATTTTTGGTGAAATTACAGTGAAAGGTTTATTTCAGGAGTATATGGAAGATATTTAGACTGCTAAGGGCTTTTTCTGGCCATGGTAATTGAAAAGGTTCTAGGCAAAGAAAATTCTCTTTACAATGAAAATATTAGGACTGAAGGAATACAAGCAAGGTGCCCACAACATTTCATCTGAGCTTCTCCTTGATTAAACTGCCATTAAGGATTGTGTGATTTTAAATACTTTGCCCTCATAAACGTACCTCAGTTGAGATATCAATCTTGAATTGAAACCAATTTAAAAAAAAGTATGTGAAAAATAAGAAAAATAACACAATAATCAAGTAGTCATCTTGAATAATTACTCTATTTTCAAATGTTCTAATCTGAACAGCCTCAGGGTTTCATATGAGCACTCATCCCAAAACAGTTATGATCATTTTCCACAGATGCACTGGGGAACTCTTTTAGACTCATCTCTCTTCTATTGGAACTATTATCCAGGAAATCTCTGTAACTATAAAATTGAGAAATGTTCTTGGGCCTATGACAGCAAACATCAAGTGAGGAAAATTTTACACTATGCTACAAGTGTTCTGCAATGTTCTGAGTACTTTAAAAAATAATTTAGCTTCTTGTCACATTACAGTATCTGAATCAAATGCACTTTAATCAATTATACTTCTCAGAGCTTTCTTCTAAAATAGAAAAGTACATATTAATCTTGTTAAATTATCACTACAAATTTAAATCATCTCTCCAGTTCTATTAGCTTTTTTTCTCCTGATAAAAGCAACTCATTTAACACAACTATCCTATTAATGCAATTTGCTTATATAAACATTCTGCATTTTGTTTTGAACCTATGGTTCTGCTAGCTGAAGCCTTCTCTAGGAGTTTCATAAATTTGCTTATGAAGCAGGTTATCTTTGTACTTTACCTCTGCAAAGCCTATAGTGTGTTTGCAGTTAGTTGCAGTTTACTTACATTGTCTCAATTTTTATGTTTGTGTTTATAAATCTCATGAAACTGAAAACCCTTAAAAATGGATTTTGACTTTCCATGAGCTGAGGAATCTTGTACTCACAAAATCTTGACTGGCAAAGGCAGAAATGTTTTTAGCACTGTAGTCTGTCCCATTCACTCTAGAATTCCTTAAATTTCATATGAACAAGTTAATGGAGGAAGATGGAATTAGTCTGGATAAAAATGTAATTTTAGAGCTTAATTTTCTTTATTTTTAAAGAAAAAGGACACAAAATTCCATGAGGTTATGAGATGGTAATTGCAGGTACTTCTATTGCTCTCAAAGCACAGTGGCAAAAGGCAGGGCTTGTATGAAAGAAGACAAGAAAGTTAACTTTATTGTTAAAGATTTTTATATACATTGATACACTGAATAAGAAAAGTATTAAAATTGTTGCTTTGTTTAATTTTAAAAGAACTTCTTTGCATAGGAGACATTCCTTATTCAACATTTCCTCTTTGTCCCAGGAGCATATGTCATGATAATTGTAATTTCACAATCTATTATTTTGCTTTGTCAAATCTTTGTCAAAGCTTAAATATATGTTATAAATTTAACTCAAACATTAAAACATTCAATCATTAAAAAAAAAGAGAGAAAGTGAGATTCTTTCATGAAATCCTCACAGGCCAAATCAAGAATTGTGGTGCAGATTAATGGACAGTGGGATGGATTGAGAACTGGTTGAGGTTATGGAGTCTCCCTTACTGGAGATATTCAAGAAGTATCCGGAAACAATCCTGTGCCATGTGTTCTAGGATGACCCTACTTGAGCAGGGAGGTTGGAGAGCTTGACCCACTGCAGTCCCTTCCATCCTGATCCATTCTGTGATTCTCTGATTCTGTGATACAGGAAAACAAACAAAACATAATTCTACTAAGTGCATTGGAGCTGGGGATGCAGATTCATATCATGGTAAGACTACTTTCTACGAGGTAGGAATAATTAATAATTTAGTAATTTATTTGAATTGCTCATACATCCCCAAAAATAAAGACATCCTGGTTTGAGATTTATACCTTATAAGACTTGAATCATGTCTTATTTTCCACTGTCTTGGAATTTAAAAGTATCAGTTACAGTTGGTATGGTTTATTACCTGAATATTTTTAAAAATTATTTTAAAAATACAAATTTTTAAAGTAATATTTTTTCAAGTGTCTTGTAATTTGTCTTCCTCTTAGATACATAATTTTTTCAAAGCTCTGTTCATGTTTTGCACCCCTGATATATACTCTGCTGAATTTCTCCATGCTGTTTCAAATGCTGCAATAAGTAGAAAAAAATTGCTCTTAGCAGACTGGAACACAATATTCTGATTCTTATCAAAAGACTGTGTAATCTTACTTGAGATGTATTATGCTGCCGCTTTGTTTCATTGTCTTAGTGTTCCTCCTTCACAGTTTTCACATTTAAGTCACCTCAAAAAAACTTAACAATAGTATAAAATCTGACTTATAGAAGAATAAAAATGCAGGTGTTGGAGTAGTGGTTGCTGCTGCCTACAACCTGTTCCCCACAAGCCTTTCCTGTAGAAAAGCAAGCTGAGATAACCTTCAGGCAATGCAGTCAGACCCTCACTCAACACTCACTGCAGCTGGCTCAGCAATAGAGGCAAGAAAGGCTCTTTTTGCAGGGTTTTACTCCAGAGGAGGATGTCACATGTGGCTGCAGGGAACCCAGCAAGGCAAAAGAAGCCAAGACATGGAAGAGACAGATTAAGAAGGGGAAGGAGTTGGGGGCAGAGCTAAGGGCTGGGCAGAGGGGTTTGGTCTCCAGGGAAAGGGGGCGGCCACCAGAGATACCAATCCAGTGAGGGGACAGGGAAAGGAGAAACCAGGGGAAGTTACACAGGGGAAGTTGACACAGAAGTTCATTTGGGAGTCTGCTTTTCCCCCCAGGAGGACTGACTCTATGGTAAGTAGTTACTGCCCTTGCCAGGGCCTAGGACTTGGGAATTGACCAGTCTGGGAGAGCTCATGGGATGCTACATAAGAATATATAAGGAGCCCAGGACACCTTGTTTATTTGAATAATTAGCATTCTAATATAATTCACTTTGTTTCTAATGTATTCTCATTTTTTAGCTTCACACAGTGCATATCTTATATTACCACATTAATATTTATAAATTGGAGGGGACCTTAAAGGTCATCTAGTTCCAATCCCCCATCATGGATAGGGATACCTCCCACTGGACCAGCTTGCTCAATGCCCCATGCAACCTGACCTTGAACACATTCCAGTAAAGAATTTCTCCCCAATATCTAGTCTAAATCTACTTTCTTTCAGTTTGAATCCATTACCCCTTTGTCCTACATGTACAGATCATTGTAAAGACCCTTTCCAACTTTCCTGTCAGTCTCCTTCACATACTGGAAGGCTGCTCTAAGGTCTTTCTGAAGCCCTTTCTTCTCCACACTGAACAGCCCTAACTCTCTCAGCCTGTCTTCATAGGAGAAGTGCATCAGTTCTGATCTGGTTTGTGGCCACCTCTGGACATGCTCCAACAGGTTCATGTCCTTCTCACATTGGGAACTTCATGAGATTATAGTATATGGGCAGAATCACTTCTGTCAATCTGCTGGACAAGCTTCTCTTAATCCACCCCAAGTTCCAGGCTGCAAGTGCACATTTTCACATTTCACATTTCCATGTTGAGCTTCTCATTCACCAACACCCTCAAATCCTTCTCCTAAGGGCTGCTCTTAGTCTTTTCTCCGTAGTCTGTATTTCTATTTGCCTTGTTCAGTTTCCTGAGATATGCACAGGCCAAACTCTCAAGCCTGCCAGTGTCCCTCTGGATGTCATCCCTTCCCTCCAGCATGTTGACTGCACCACACAGCTTGGTTTTGTCTTGCAAACTTGCTGAGCATGCACTCAATCCTACTGTCAATGTCACCAACAAAGATTTTAATAGTGCCAATCCCCATACTGACCCCTGAGTAATGGCACTCATCATTGGTTCTCCATTTGGACATTCAGCCACTGATCACAAATCCTTCAATGAGAGCATTCCAGCTAATTCCAAGCTAGTGATGGAATTGCTGGGTTCAAAAATTGTGAACTCTTTCTGAAGGACCACATATCTTAATTTTTCATACTGTACATCAGCACTTGATGGGCAATCCTTTTCCATTTTACTTGCTTTTTTTTGTCTGGCTCACTGTTTTATCAATTTCATCTGATTTAGCAGGTTTAGTGAGCTTACAATAATTTCCTTGCATTAATTAGACTTTAAATAGCAGAAAATTGGGTGAGTAGATTAAACTCTAGCAAACATGTCTTCCATCTACAATTATTTTAGGTCATGCTATTTTTAGTACTTATGCCTTCTAGGCCAAAGATTCATGCAGACACAGTACATATATCTGTGACTGTGAGCTGTGATTTATAACCTTAATATCCATTAATACAGTGAACAAAAACTGTCATGTATTCCAGGGGTATAACTCTGATAATGAGCACCATTGGCACAGCATAAAGCTTCCTGTCTGCCTATATTCCTATATAAATATACATCATGCAACATATGGGAAGCATATGTGAGTTTACAGTAATTTCTGTCAAAACATGACATTAAGGTCCCAAGTATTTTATCACTACTGTTTTTTTTGTGTCTTAATACAAGACACTTTTAAACAACACTATCAGGTACCTTTGGCTATGTAGCAGATTCTATGGATTTCTCAGAAAAGAAGCTTGAATAAAAATGTTTCTATTAGTGGTGAATTTACACTGAATGGTTTGTTATCTGTCATGGAACTTTCATTCAGAGGAGGAAGTGAAAGTTCTTCCTATTTTTCAGCAGAAAATAATCAATTAACAAAAGGAGATTTTATTGCAAATTTTGTTTTCAACTCTTTTACTACAAATTCCTTTAAAAAATAAAGAAAGAAATGTTAAGAAGCTATTGTTATTTACTCTCAATTTCATTTTCACCTTCCATACAATTAAACTTCCAAGGATATATGGACAATATATTTTTGTTAAAATTCTGCTCCATTATTCCTAGAAAGAGTTGGAGAAAACTAGTTTTTCAGATATATGGCATAGTTTAGTGGGACTTTTCCTTTCAATACTTCTTTACTCATTATAAATGCAAATTAAAATAATGTGTTTTGTTCTCCTAAACAGGGTCTCAAGTCTTGTCTAAAATCATTGAGATTATAGAGACTTTCCACCTCCAAAATAGGAGCTCTAAGCTTCAAAACTCTCCAAAATTTGAAGAATGATTAAAAATATCACAGGAACTGTCTCATCTATTCCTACAGAATATATTCATTCTGAAGGGCATCTTTATCCACATGAATAAGAAGAAGGTTTTCAGAGGTAATTAGCATGGACTGACTAAAGGTTAATCTTTAGGTTGTTTGACCAACCCAATCGCCAAAAAACAGGACATGGTATAGTGGTGGCTATCACTGATATTTCTTGGGCTGGGCATTGATAACCTGAGATTACTGAGATGTAGTTTTCAAAGAAGGAAAATAATAAAAAGACACTTACTTTACCTTTATAGATTAAATTGTAGTATGAGTTCAGAAGGAAGGTGCAGTTCCAGAAAAGACTGAGAAAACCTTCCAGAGTCATTAAATAAATATCAAAATACCATTGAAATTTGTTCCTTGGTAAAAATTCAGGAGAGACTTAAATGTACAGCTGTTCACAGAAAAAGATTAAAGGATAAAGCAAGAAGTAGAACATCTCTAGAGATGGATATGAAACTACTCCAGAGAATAGTTTTTAAGATTTATCAATTTTTCCTTTTCTTTTTCCATTTTCTTTTAGAAAGCAAGTAGGAAAATGCTACAAAAATATTTTTCATACTTTAAATTATTTTTTGAAATAGGTTTGTTTAGTTAACTTGTTATATGGTGTCTATTGTGATCACTACTTTCCTGAAGTGCCAGTCTCAGGCAATTTGGAGGTAATATGCAACATAAGTCTATATAACCTAAGTCACTATGCAGACCTATATCTGTGACTCATACTGGGTAGGCTATTAATGAAAGTTTCCTATGAAGGGATATATAAATGCTGGGAATAACAGGAGACTATAGAAGTTTGCAAAATTAATTTTTAATTTTATGTGAGTAGGAACTCACATCACTGTCATGTGAATTCTTTGTGTGGCACACTGAAGACAGGCCTCCATTATTGTCAAGTTCAAAGCAGGATGAAAGATGGAGGAATTTCACAAACCAAAATAGTTTAGGGCTTTATGGTTGACTGTAATAACAAATACCATCTGAAAAATTATAATGTTCCTCCAGATACTGCTCTGTTCTATGAAGACATAAAAATAGCATTGCTTCAGTACTTAGAAATTGTACAGATTGTATTAAATTTGGAAAGTAACAGAGTAGATAAATTCCTTGATGCCAAAAAAACCTTTAAACTGGAAAATCCAACCTGAGTCCTTAAGTCTCCAGAAGAATAAAAACTGAAGTTAAATTCCTCAGTTTTAGAGATTTATTGAGAACCTATAAATAAATATAAATATGAAGAAAGAGGTTTTTTTCTAGTCTATTGTTAAAAAAAGCATTGGTTGCTGGATAAATCTAATACTTGCATCTTAAATTTGAAGTGTAATGTCATATTGAAAATATTATCTTGCTAAATTGGTGGGTTAACATTTGATAATTTTACAGGTGTGCACACCTAATCAAACACAGTAGCAGTCACAAAGGCAAAAAAAAGGCTTTGAGAAGAGCAGATGGAGCATTGATGAATGTTTGGTTGTCATTCATTTCTAAGTCTTTCTGCAAAACCACCATCAAGAAGGAATAGGACAAAAGAAATGGTTTTCTTCAGTACGATGATATACATGTTTCTCTGAAATAGCAGTTGTACAGAAAACAGTACAGTGAAGGTCTTTTCCATGAAAGATATCTTGAGAGGAAAGATAACAAATTTTCAGAACCATGAGAAGGTATACGACTATTACATTGACAGTCTCAATTGCTGTCTAAAATAAAAACACCTATTGCACCCTAATTTTTTTTAAAAAACCCTTAGGTAGAAATACTGTGCTTTCACAGAAAGACATTTTAATACTTTTAATATTTGATCTTTTTTGTGTTTCACAATGATTAGAACTGAAAAATTCTAAAACAGGTAAATTGCATGAGGACAAATCCAGACTTTGCTGAAAATCCCACTTAGGCCTTGAAGTTCAATGAAAAAAATTAGGTTGCCCAGTTTTATAAATGCATTTATTCCATATTACACCATAGACTACATGGCTATACAAAGGCTTCTAGTTTATTGCTTTTTTATCTATATCAAACAACATAAAACTAGATCTTTTTCTAAATAGCAACTTATGGTTTCCTTTCCCATGAAAGATTATTTACTCTTTATGTTTGTGGAATTTTTTGTGCTCTGCTTTCAAAAAAATAATATAATTTCTTGAAACCATCATATAAATAAATTTGAAGAATTCTAGATTTTTCTTCAAGAATTATAACAGAGAAGAATTAATTAAGTTGGCCCATGATTCTTTATTATAAACAGTGCCCACAGTTTCTAATCCATCCATTCTCCAAATAGTTCATTACAAATGAATTTGAATTTTTTTCTTTTTGGTATTAGGCCAGCTGACATATCTACCAAAATTTGTCACCTTTAAATTTCCAGTGTAAACAATCCATTTCAATTGTCATCTACTAAGGCTTATCAGCAGGTACGCAAGTAGACTATTTTGCCAGTTACTGTACACACAGCTAGTATATTATTAGGGAATATATGGAATACTGGAACATTGCAATGGAAGATCATTAATGACATTTTAAAGAGTAAATGAAATGAATTTTAATTATGTAGTTCATTTTACTCTTCAATATTTGGACGTATATTGACAATATACTGAATATATTGAAGTCTATTTACACAGAAAAACTAATGTCCCAAACCAGTTCTGTATGCAAATTTAAAAGGCATAAAGTTCAGTTTTATATGAAGATCCAAGTGATATATTATGTCAAGAAGAACAGCCTCAGTACCTGCACTAAGTTTTATTCAAGCTTAACACACTTAGAACTAAGGGGTAAACCAAAGAACCAAAATTAACCTATAATCTATTCCTCTCCGGTACATAGGAATACAATTTTCACTTATAAACTTGTCTTAATTGCTTATTTTTTTGCCACAGGTCATGCCCAAGATGCTGGCATTTGAGAAAAGATAAATATCTTAGAACCCAATCCATTGCTACTACGACTCTTAAAGTTTTGTAAGTTACCCAGCAGTAAGCTTTCTCTACTGTGTTCTTAGTATGCCTAACACACCCCAAAAAATGTTTAATACAATTATTGTAATCAATTGCCTCTAAACCAAAGAATACTTGGAGCTCTCTAAGAGGATAAAGACTGCTAGTCGGCAGGCTGTGAGAGAAAAAAAATTTCAAGCAGAATAGAAATTTTCATCACTAATTTGTAAATTTTTCTCATCAAGCTGATGAATTCTCCATCTTTCCTGTCACACTGCTTTCAAAATTATAATGAACGTATTGTGAGATTAGGGAAAGTAAAGAAAAGAGAGCAAATTCTATTAGTAAAACTCTCAACCAAGAGGGCCCTGGTTTCTATTGTTTAAATTGCTTATGTATTTTTATTATTCAGTCACCAAAAAATAGAAATAATTAGAGACTTGAGTCCCATACTTTAATATTGTGCATTGTAGACATGGACAATATTAATTTCTGTCTCAGCTTCCATATTGCTCATTTCCTTCTGCACAGAACAAGAGATTCACAAAGCAGGTCGAGACTTTCATCATGAAAGCTGTAGCTTTGAATACTCTTAGGTCAAACCTGGATTCCTGACTTGCTGTACTAATACAGTTTTGTGCAAAAAGGGTGAGGAAACTTCAAACATCTCATTCTGTAAGCACTACTAAATGCTTGTCTATCATTTAGTGACAGTGCTACTAATCAAACAAAGCAGGTTCTGGACAGAATTGAAACCTAGAGTTCAAAACTATAATCCATGAACAACCCAGTACATCTGGAGCTAATAGACACTTCTCTGATTTTTTTTTTTTTTTTCCAAAGGAATGGGACTGATGTAATTTAATTTAACCATCTAATATTTGCACATTTTACTTAGCTATTCACCAAGTGAATTTCTTTGAAGACAGGTATGTAAAAATCTAAAAGCAATACAGACAATTTTTGTTTAAGACCATTTGCCTAATTTTTTAGATAAACTTAGATTAAAAGGCCTCTATTTTATCAGATTCCAGAATTTTGTGTTTATTGCACAGTTAAGGCCATTCACATTTATTGCAGTCTAGCACTTATCTTAAAACTACTCGTGGTTGAGGCTGCAAGACAGAGGGCTGTGATACACCAAAATTGGTGTGGAAAGCATGCCAAATGAAAGTCAAAATATGCATTTTCTTACAGTAGAAACTGCTTTTTAGAAAACAGCACATGCAGAAGAAAAGCTGTGGCCACTATTGTGCACTATTTTAAACAAAGGAGATTAGTGGCTAAATCATCCAGTCAGAAAGAGATTTAGATTTAACTCCCTCCTTGGCCTGAAGGGGAGATTTAGAGCACCAAAAAGAAAATGTTTTTATCCTAGAGACAGAATAATGTTTTGTACTAATTTCTAGGGTATATGAACAGGATCAGAAAGTAGGAGAGAGGGAGAGTGAAGTGCAGTAGAAACAGCTAAAAAATAATATTGCAGTAATACATATCACTTCAATGTCTTCAATTTCTGTGAGACAACATGAATTAAATTTTCTCCAACCAAAAACCTGATGAATAACGTATCAATGACATTTTTTTTTTGGATATTCAAAGTATATAAATAGGAAAAAATGAATCCTACCTTATAGGTAATAGGTTTTTTCTTTCAAGTTTCCTGTTGGAAGCTTTCTATCAATATCTCTGAAAGTAATATTGTCTATTAATTAAATAAATAGAATAGGTTAAAGACTAAGTTTTGAGCCATTACCAAAATAGTAACAAATTTCTCCATACAGTTCACTTTTTTACTGAACTACCAAGGAAAAAAAAAAAAAAAACCAAAAAAAACCCAATAAAAAACCCACTAAGTGACTGCCTGCAAACTGATTGTAAGAAGCAGATTTTCAGCACTAATGTACCCAAAATAAAACTGATAAATTTTTTGACACAATGCAGCTAATTTGGCTGCTCCCACAGCCAAAGGGATTTCCTTACAATAAACTGTATGAACAATTTTGTATTAGTGTTTAGGTCTGTATTTTGTTCATATTCTTTTTACTGCTATAAAGGTATCAATCATAATCAGCAGTAGTAATATGACTTTGTAATAGCTGTGCTAGGTAAGAATTAGGTAGCTAACTTTACTCATTAAGGAAGTACAATTATATGCTATCAACCAGCAGTACTTCCCTTCTTACTGTGGTGATGACTCCATAGATGTGGAGATTTTTCTGAAACATTGCATTTTTTATGATTAGCTCTTAATGCTGCATTTTGGCTTTGCGGTCCTTTCAGGTACAGAAAATGCTATGTGACAAAAGAATAAACAAAAGGCAAGAAACAGATCTTAGTACCCCCAAAAAATATATTTCAGTTTGAGGCATACTTGAGTACAATTTTATGGACTGAGGTACAAATATAAGCCAAGAGGATTGCATCAGAAGTTAAAAAAAAAAATCAATTCACTAGCCTATTTTATAATATATATAAGGAAATTGAAGCATAGGATGATTGGTTGCATGGAATACCTGAGTTTTTTTGGGTGCAAAACAACCACCCATGGAGCATGGCATATGTCTCTGCTAATTTCAAGCAGATGATCACATTATTTTCCTTTATAATCTCTTAATTTATTAGTCTCACTTATTTTCTTAAGAGACTCTGTGGCCGTAAGTGTTAGGGAAAAATAGCAGGAAATCCATGGTAGAACACTTACAATACTTAAAAATTACCAATTTGAGAAATTCTAAGTGTTTATTATACAAAAATGCACTCTGATAAATTTTACTTTATGAGAGTGAAATCTCATCTTGTAAAGCAAATATTTTCATTTTTGACTTTACCACTGACAAATATCAGCAAACAAAATACTTTTCTATTTACAATCTTAATTAGTGAATTTGCCATAAATTAAACTAAAATATGGAAAAGAACAGGCAAACACTCTAGCAAGATATGAGATAAACCTCACATGTTCTTAAGCATAGTCTGAGTGAAATGAAAGAAATCTATTTCTGAGCATGCACATTTATTATTTTAAAATCCCAAAAAAGGAATGTAGAGATTAGTCTTGTAGGAGCTTCACTCAATAGGTGGCATCACCTAAGGGATTCACATTTTTTTCTCTATCAAACAGTATGGAACAATTTTGGATTTACTTTCCACCGTAGCCAATAAGTAAACTTATATTGTTGTACATTAAGTTCAAATCACTAATTGCATGAAAAAGCTTTTAATCAATATTTTGTGATTTTTAACATATTGATAATCTCAAAAATTTTTTCATTGAGGTGGTGGAAGGATCAACAGGTGAATGGCTATGAAATAGGTGAGGTTCCAGGGTGGACTTCTTGCTTTGGAAAAAAATTGTCTGGTGCCTTTAGGAGAGCTTTCCCTGTGAGAATTGCATCCAGTATCTCTTTGTCTCCATTGAATCAGCGGCCTGTTTCCAGCCCCTGTCCACACTCTACTCTCTTTGTTGTAATTCAATAAAGCTCTGCCAGGGAGCAGTAGCCTTCTGTCACTGCCATTTTGTCTAGGTCTTGGAGGAAAAAAAAAAAAAAAAAAAAAAAAAAAGATCTGTGGGTAAAAATGTTCTGTTTCCTTCCCACACAGACAGGGACAGGGACTAGGACAGAGTTCAGTGTTACTGATAAAATGTTTTTATTTCTTTATTAGTTGAAGTAAGAGGAAAAATTAGGAATTGTCCATCATCATGCATTGCTTATTTTATGTATTGTCACAGACAAGAAACACACTATTACTAATTTTAGTTTGCTTTGTTCATCTCATTTTACTTTGGATAGCTTACAAATGTGACTGGCTACTGTGATATAACTGAGGTTTCATGAAGTAAGATCCTACCAGGACTCTGCTGTGTAAGGTGTGCTGTACAGCTCAAAGCTTATGAAATATTTGAAATCACACTACTTCTTCAGTTCCGTTTAAATAAATTATCCTGATTGAATAGGGGAAATCAGGAAAGTCCAGAGAAAAGGAAAGTGTTTGGAGTGCTGAGTTCTAAAGGATGAAACAATGATATGATCCCAATGATAAGATTCCCATAGTCAATGAAGTGCTACCTTTCAGCCTATTTAGGGTCAGTGATTTTCCCTCTCATTAGGTGGCAGTATGCCAAACAATAGTTTAGTTCTTCTGTTCCTAGTTGCAATATTTGTAAGGAAAAAAAGCAAGAGAAAAATTTTTAGGTGCTTTGTGAGATTCTATATAGTCCCTTTTCTTTTTATGGTCTCTCATTTCTTATATCTGTCCATCATTTGTTATGGTAAAATTAATTATGTATCAGGAAGTTTAATCTGTTAATTAGACTGTGTATACATAACATTTATTGCAATGGTTTGAAATACTTTTGAAAACATGGCCAGGACTCTTTTCATAACATAACTCTGAACTTAAACTACATTTTTGTTGCCCTTTTGTGATTCCGTCTAACTTCCTTTAGTACCTCAATAGAATATTCTCCGTGAAATAAAAAATAAAATCAACAACCAATAATTTGTGATACAAAACAGTCTTGTAGAATTGAAAAACAAAAAATCTGATGTTATCTGGTGATTTACTCCCACAGTAAGAGAAAAAAATATGTGCAGTGTGTGATTTTTTTGGTGAATTTGACAAGTTTCATACCAAACCTTATGCAACTAGAGAAAAGGAGATTCTAAAATCCAAACATCCACCCTTATAGACTGCTTCCTCTCCTGTATATCATATGTTCTATACCCCATATGCTTCCCATATTCCATTCATTTTCTCACTCATCCACACAGTAGCTATATTCATACCAAATAAAGCTCTTAAATAATGGGCACAAAGACTGAGAATTGGAAACTAGTAGGAAAAAAAATCCTTTTCACACTATCCTTCCTTTAGTGAGCACGGGAAAATCTCTGCTCCCAGCTTAAGGAAATGCATTTACCAGTAGTGTTCCTTTATTTCCCCAGGAGACATACTTAATTCTCCAGAAAGCCATTTGGGGCAGCTAGACTGCATTTTCTTGACTCTCCAGAGATCTAGGAAAAAATACATGGACACTTTTTTCCTTAATTTAGACACTTAGGTTTTTGTATCTCACAATCATGGAATAATTTAGAAAGAATTTCTAAAAGTCATTTAGTCCAAGACCTCACTTCAAGCAGCATCAAAGAGATCAAGGTTAAGAAGCTTGAGTTTAAAATACCTCACCCTCAGGGATGGAGATTCCATTCCCAGCCTCTATGGGAGACTGTCTCAGTTTTTGGTTATTCTAGTGGTGAAAAACTTTACCCTGGTATCTGATTTATTTTTCCTAATCAGAGGAAATTTCTGTCCTCCAGAGCTTCTTGTGTATCACTACACAACTCCAAGAAGAGTCTATCTGTCTTCTCTGCATAAAACTTCATTAATATTTTCCTAAGCCTGATCTTAACACTGCACAAACTCAGGTATCAGCCTCTTAAACTTATTTTGTGTTCCATACTCGTAATCATTGTGATAGGTCTTTGACATACCCATTCCAACACATCATTATAGTTCTTGCACCAGGGAATAAAAATTGGACACAGTATTCCAAAAGCAGACTCACAGCCACCAAATAGCAGGGAATAATAACTTTTCTTGACCTGCAAGAAACACTGCTCCTGCAAAGATATTTTCTTCATTCCATGGCTTGCAGGTCCTTTCTTCACATCATTACATAGTTTCTGGTGTCCTTAGATGATACAAATGCACTTTCAAATGAGGTCTAGAAAACAACTGGAAGGTAAAGTATGAGAATATGGTGTGTCAAGTAGTGTTTATCCGCAGTGACTTACACGTCACACAGAAGGTGAGAGTATGTAATCTCAGTTATACCTCCTAGCAATAAAAATTAATACATTATTATGGTATTAGTATCTTCAGTATGTTTTCTATTTAATATCTAAGCTACTTGTATGAATTTTAGTGTCTCAATATCTTTCATTTCATTAGAGTGTACAACACCACCTTGCTTTGGTATATGCCTCCAGTCATTTTAGAAAAGTAATTGAATATATGCCATTTCTGTGGCAAACATAACATTTGTTGGCTGCGAAATTCTACTTAAGTAGAATCAATCATAGCAATCAGTTATGGGGTAGGTAGTATACTGGCTACTGAGCAAATGTTTAACATTTCAGAATATTTCATTTTGTTTCAAAGTTTTCAATGTTTCTACAAAGTAAATTCTTTTTTAAGATAAGTGAGAGGGAATCTATAGTTTAAGAAAAACAAAATACCCAGGACCGTCCTTCTCCTTTAATTTGTGAAATTTATATGGAAAATTCAAAGCATACTCTATCTTCAAACAACTTGTGTCCTATGAGTTTTGCTTTTGTGTATGCACAACATATTATAGAGAAATTCTGATATAGAGATAAACTCATGAAATAAATTATCATAGTTTCTCCATCAAGCAGAAAGAAATAAAAGAAATAAATACTAATGTGACATTCTTTTTTATGTCTGTCTCTCAATTTCTTTCTCATCTTGTTTTTTCTATAAGAAAAATTCAGGGAGTATAAAAAAAGATAGTGTTGTGCTGCAAATATTTTTTGAAAGGATTTTCCTGGAAAAAATCACTTTTATCTTGTAATTATGATCTATCTGAACGTGTATTTATTTTCAGATAAAATGAGTAAAATTTAGGGAAATAAGATTTTTTTTTTCCCCAATAACTCCCGAAAAAGTTTTTAACTACAGCACTCCGTTTGAATGTGTTTTTATTGAGTTTTTTGTTTAGTTTTGGTTTTTGTTGTTGTTGTTGTTTTATAACAACTTTCTATCCGTTTGCACTTCTGGTTTTTTGAGAAGCAACCTGTAGTTTTTCATGCCTTTGAAAGGCATGTCTTACATAACTTATGTTGAAAGGAATTAATAGATTTGAAATAAAAATACATTCTAATTTTAAAGCTCTTTTCCTTGAATCCCTTTTTATTCTCTCTTCTTATTTATTTCAAAACTATTTATTCTGGAAAAAAGTAGGACATCACTTGTCTTCTGTTGAAGATGTAATCCGTACTTCATGTTACCTATAATCATCAAACCATACTATAAAAATATCTGCAAGCACAGCTTACCTCAGAGTAGCTGAGACCCATTTTTGTGTGTCTTGAAGGTAATCTTATTTGACATTTTCTCCACAGTTAAAAATTCCCAGTAAAGTACAGTGCAGTACTAGCATGTCAGAAAAAAACCCACAAACACCTGACACCTAACTGTCTTGATCACCTTGATGTTAAAAGTAAAGCTCTCCAATAAAGTCAGATGCAGCTGATCTATGAACCTCTGAAGATCTGGGACATTTTCACAGAGAACTGCTAAACTCTTGATGTCTTTGCTTTGATTGCCTTCTTCCTCTCCTTTTTTTTTTTCACAGGGTCTTAACAGAGGAGAGAAAAGGGTCAGGCAGGATAAAACAAAAAAACAATTCAGTGGAGCAGTATCCTGCCCTGCCACAGGCTCTTTTCCCAGAGCAGCAGGTTTTCCGTCCACTATGCCAACATGGCCAGAAGAGACAATTAAACCTTTTATGCTTGATAGGCCAGCAGACTGGCTGGTTCTTTTGCAATTTCTATGGGAAACAACTCAAACTTGGAAAGAAAACAAGACTCCTATCCTAAAAAAATCTCATTCACTATTGTTCTTCTTCAATTAAAGAAATATTAATCAAATTAAAACATTCCTACAGCATGAAGTACAGAAATTACATTAACGTCAAAATATTCAATTGCTGACTTAAGCAGTCTGTGAACAATAGATTGTCTATTAACTCTTCATGAGTCTTCAATGGTGTCTACTTCATGGCTTAAAAAGAAGTACTTAACATCATTTTTTTAAATTAACACAGTAATTCATTGTGAAAATAAACTGTACTTCACATGCTGTAACCAAACTATTTGAATCTGATAATCTCAGAACCATTTTATAGTGTAATAAAGAAATAAAGAACTAATGGATGTAGTTTGGATGTAGAAGGAATCTTTTTTTTTTTAATGTAATGTAGAGATGTTACTTATACGTTAAATACATTGACACAGTTTTCAAGTCAAGACAGAGCTGAATCTTGCAGAGATGGTGCATCATCCTCAGTGCCTTATCTATATATTGAGGAAATACTGCATTTAGAATTCCATACAGAAATGGTGTTGATTTATTTAAGTTTCATCTTCACTTGAAAGCTTTTGAGTTTAATATTTCATCCCCAAGAAAAGGCAGTGAAATGGTCCCAAACACGATTATAAACCACTGTTTTCCAAACCATAGTATATATTTAATAAAGTAATTAATGTATAGGTTTTTTATTCTACATTATGAGAGCACTCATTACAAATGTCAAACACAGTACATAAAGTTTCTTTTTCCTAGGATCAATTACAGTACAGTCAGTCATAAGGGGTAGTCTTTGATGACAGACATCCAATCAGCAGAAGACTGCAGTGAGAAAACCACTAAACGTGAAAATTTATAGTCTCAATTTTTTTTTCCTTTCCAATGCTTCAGGAAAAAATCATCAGTGAGAGGAAAACTCTGTAAAAATATTATCAGAGGAAAATACTTATAAATAAAAGATCAATTGAACAGGAAAAATACATTTGGAAACCAGAATGCTACTAACTCTCTAAGGCATGTGTGTACATGTATATAGCTCATACATATGTTAAAGCACCAATGAAACAAGTGAGATTTACATTACACTTGGATATGGCACTGTTGTATGGCAGAGATAATGTGTGTAACTGAATATTTTACTTGCAATTTTTGTAAAAGAGTAGTGTCTACAATACTTTGGCTTGAAAATATCAGTGTATTAGCTATTTCAGAATATAAACATGGAATTTAAATTTGAATGAATTATTGGTAATTACATTTGTTTCAGATATTTGAACTTAAAGAAAAATAATCTTGTGGCAGACAGATATAATTTTATTATTTTACTTGAAATAGAGGAAAGGAACAATGATGAACAGAGATTAAAACAATGGAATTACTATACTGAATGTGTTTTTAAACTATTTAGCATGAAATGAAGTGCCAACACAAGTGTAAACCTGTTGCATTGTAAATGTTAAGAAATGAAAATTAGATGAATGGCATTGAAAATTATCAGAGCCACTTTTTAGAGATATAAATTATGCAGCCAAAATAGAATAGTGAACAGCTCTGATAGTGATTTTTCACATCCCTGCATCCTGGTAAACTAATAGATGTACCTTGCTCTTTTTTAATGAATTCCTAATTTAACTAACATGATTATACATCCTTTTTCCATGTCTATGGAATAGTTTATGCAGTATACTAAATACTCAACTAGGCTCAGCAGCTGCCAGTTAAGATTAGTTTTTTTGAGTTTTTTCAATAAATCTAACTTTCAATGACATTTCATAAAAAATTGCCACTGTTTCAAGGAAATTTACCATGTGGGATGCAATAAATTCCATTTTTCCGTATAAAACCTGTTCTAAGCAACTCACAAAATTTAATAGCAAACGATAACCTTTCAAAACAGAACAGAATATCTAAAGATTTCCTATATGATAATGCCATCTCCGAAAGTGAACACTGATATTTTTAAAGTGGGAGATTAGTCCTTTCTGTTTATCTAATAAAAGTTACCATCACTTCTTTCACCACCTTTCCTTGGAAATCAATACAGTTGTAAAACCACTCTGCATTTTTACCAGGTTCAATTCATTTTCTGTGTAACTTCCATGTTCCGCATCAGGGAATTCCTGCCTGAAATTAAATTCATCTATTGTCTGTGAAGGAGAAACTGGAGAAAGATATCCTGATCTGCATTATTTCTTTGGCAGAAGTGGTTTGAAAATTATTGTCTATTGAGATGTAGTTTTAATTTTCTTATTCAATCCTGAATTGAGACTTGTTGCCAGTAGATAAGTGGGTCAGAATTATTCCCAATCACATAAATAGATAAAGTCATTTTTATTTCCCTCTGCTTTTTTTTTTTTTTGTTGTTGTTTTTTTGTTTTCCTGCTGAAGCTACTGCTTAAGGATCTTGTTCCTTTTCAGAGAAGATCTGTTTTTTGCCAGGTAAAAGTATGTCTGGAAGGGTCTTCTAAAACCTGGCATAAACATACATAACTGAATTGACTTCTCAAGAGGCCATCATCACAATAGAAGAGCTAATCAAAGTGGCAAGTACATTAAAAACAGCAGAAATCAGTACACTGTCAATCTTGTCTGTGTTGTATTATTCTGTCTACTTGCTGTTTTCCTTTGCTTCCAAGATCACTCAGCCATGTAATAAGTAGATTTTCAATGTGTGGTACTTCCTTCATTAGTTGTTCTGTCATGCACTGGTACAATCAGAGATTTTCTACCTTTTTCCTAAGCAGGCTACAGTGATAAAGTAAATGCAAGTTATTCATGCTACAACAAAAATATCTGCTGGGTTTGCTTATCCAGTATTTTTCCTATGTTTTATACATATTATCCTGTATTTTCAAATGCACCAGTTTTACGCTTCAAAACTGCCATAACTTATGCCATAATTGATATTCTGACAAAAAGATAGCCAAAAAACCCCTGTGAAACTTACCAAGTTTCAGGCACTGATTGCTTTCATCAGTACAAGAGGCATTTCAGAAACAGTAAAAGAAATCACTGATTCTAATGAGATTTTGCTCTACATTTGTTTCTCAAGAGGTATCATAACTGCAAGGTTCAGACATAACTCAAGTCTCATAACTGTGGTATGTCAAGTCTAAATTCATGACAGACCTAAGGAACAACAGCACTACTAGAGCTGTAATCTAAAGCAAAAGTGATTAAAGGATGTGGCTGGCTAACATGAGAAGATCAAATGCTGAAACCTTTGTCAGCCTTTTGGATTTCAAGCTTTCAACTTTAATATCTTAGGAGAAAAACAGAAATAAATTATGCTGTTCTCTTCTGATTTGGGGAATGATATTTCCAATTCTCTGTCTAAGGAAGGGAAAGATAAGAATAAAAATCTAAGGTAAACTAGTTATGAGGATGCAATGCAACTCAGGAGAAAAGAGATCATGGCTCCATTAAGTGCTTAAGGGTTTACTTTGTATTAACATTTAGTGAACAAAACATGTGAATGTCTCTTGTGAACAATACTCAAAACTTATTTGCCATATTCCAGGAAATTTTTCCATCAACAAACTCTTTTCTTTGAGCTAAATACAGTGAGTGATTATTCATGCAGAGTCTGCATGTGAGAGCAAATGAAACTTTCAGTCATAATACCTAGAGATATTTTTATTTACCAGGAATGAGATCAAAAAAAAAAAAAAAACTTAGAAAAAAAAAAAAAAAAAAAAAAAAAAAAAAAAAAAAAAAAAAAAAAAAAAAAAAAAAAAAAAAAAGAAGAAGAAAAGTAAAAATATAGATTATAAAAAAGCAGAAAAGGTGTATAACTCCAGTGAAAGGATAGTTTAAAGTTTCATTTTGCTAGGAATGGGTCAAGCAGGCAACGAGACAATGGTCGGTAAGGGGCCAGAAAGTTGATTAAAGCTCAGGAATTTTCTAGCAAATCAATTAATCTAGCAGAGGGAGAAAGAGATCTATGCCCTTGTTGGCCCAAGTTACTGATAGGTTTGAATATGAAACCAAACTGAAGGAGAATCAAGGTGATTAGTGGGTGTCTTGTGTGCGTGTGTGTATATATATATATGTATATATATATTGTCTATATATATATATATATATATATGTATGTATGTATGTATGTATGTATGTATATAATATAACCAGAAAAAACAACCCTTTTTTTTTTTAATTCATAAAAAAATCACAATAACAAATCACCAAACAGTTGCCTAAGGCACTATTTTATCAGACATTTCAAGTGTCTTCTGATGTACTAATTTATATATATATATATATATATATATATTCCCTACATAAGGAAAATAGTATCAGGAAGAGAGATTTGATGAAAGAGAGGTAAAAGAAAACATTTTGTGGCATGCATGAAACCTGTATGCCAATATTATATTTAATAACTATTCTAATAAACAACAATGCCCCTCCTAATTGAATCCATAAGAAAAAGCTATTATCTTCAATAAAAATAAGTAAACTAGACTAAGCCTCATAGTTCTGTTTTCCCAATCAATCCTATAATTCTTCTGAATATATTCGGTGCAGCATGTTAAAGGTTACAAAATCAATCTATTTTTCTTTAACATATATATCAGTGAAATATATCTTCCATCGTAATTTAAATAATCAAATCAGTCATAATTTAAGATATTTATAATATTTCTTCTTGAAATCATCTCAGTGTGTAAAATTTATGTGGGAAATTGGGATGAGATTTAATAGCTTTTTGATGCTTAGATCCCCAAAATAGCA